TGTTCGGTCCGTAGAGTGAACACCCATGAACGGAGGACAAACACACACCAACTATATGCACATATAAACGCATGCATTAAGAAGAGGAGTGGACTTTCACGTACGCCCGCACACACGCGTACATTACTTGTCTCGTACTCGTACGTACTGACACGTACACATTCTTGCGTATATACGTAGAGAGAGACACGTATATATTCGCACGATGAGTTCGATCCGCGATACATACGAACGATACGTACGTACGGTCGTGCGTCCAGCCAAGTATCCGATACCCGTGTATATCAACTGTGTGGAACACAAAGCAAGCATAAACTGAACATTCTTCTTCTTTTCGAAACATGCATTAGTTTTTCAGAGGGAAAATAGAAATGGTTCGCTTCGTCTTGTCGGCTACGACGGCTCAAGGCCGCGAGAGGAACGGCCGGGGCCTCGGTCACGAGAGGTAAAGAGAGAAAGAGGAAAAGAAAGAGCAAGGGGGAGAGGGGAGAGCGGGGGAGAGAGAACGGATAAAGAACGCAAAAGAAGAGAGAGAAAAGGAGATGGGAGACAATAGAGTGAAGGAAAGATCAGGCGAGCGAGAGCGATGTGCAAAATAGAATCCAACCTCAGAAGAAAGGATCAGTCGAGGAACAGAGAGAAAGAGGCCCTGGGTTCGATCTTCTAAGTACAACACACCTCTTTCAAGCTGCTAAGAAGGATAAAGGTATGGGTTTTTGTATGAGGTCCTACCTGCACAGACGAACGGTAGATCCTTCGTACAGTTCGCTTCTACGTCGTTACCGCCGAATTGGACGCTTTGAGCAAGATGTGGACACTCCATGTTTTCCTAGGCACGATTCCACGGGGCCCTCGTGGCCCCTTCGTCGGCGAGTGCCTGCGTACGTACGTGCCTGCGTTTACAACGTGCTCTTTCTCTCTTTCTGGGCAAAGGAGTGTAGTGGCAGGCAGAAGGATGGGGTGGGAATGATTTACAGAAGGCGGGGTACACGCACGGTGCCCCGTAATATCCGTCACATAGCGCGGAAAAAAGAAGGGTACTATTCGTTGCTTTTAACGAAAAAGAAAGGATGCAACTGTTCTCGATGCGCAACGACGACGGACTGAGGAAAACGAGCAGACCGAAAAGAGCAGTGGAGCGCCCGACTGGTCCCGACTACCGACCGAACGCAACCGAGCTGCGTCGGGCTCGGTTCTGCGGTGGTCGGGCTACCTCCAGAGTCACAGACCACTAATAGTCGACTGACTTGCCGGTTGTACGGTCTCTCCTCCCTGCTCCCGAGAGTTCCAACATTCGCAGGCGTGCGATTACAGCTACTCTCTCCGTTTCTCTTGCTCTTTCTCTTCAGCCTCGCTCCGTCCACACCAGGTTGTGCTAGGCTACCTAGCCTTGGATCGTGCTAGGTCGCGCAGCCTCTGAACAACTTACCCAGGTCCGGCCCAAGCGCGTGGGCGCTTTGGAAGGGCGACGCATTTCACCATAATGCAGTCGCGGACTTATTGAGCGTTATCTTTTGTAAAATATTTTACGTTCTAAACTCGGCCCGATACGGCATACTGAGTTTTTTAAATGTGAGCTATATGTAAATAGTTTCGCTACTTAACTTGATGCCAGAGATAGTATTGCAACGTTTCGATGTTTAATGTAAAATGACGTACATGATTCATAGAAAGGAAAGCGAAAATGGTTGAAAGTACATTCTTTAAGCGCGCTGTACCTAACTGTAGATATAATTATAATCGGAGCACGAGATCGATATAACGTTGAATTTAATGCACAACTGTACTGTTTTTCTCAATACTAAATCCGACAACTTTGCTCAAAATTGTTTATGTAACATATAGTGAAACTTTTTATAATAAATTTGTTAAACTTTTGAATAAAATATTATTTTATAGTGCAAAAATATGATGAAACTCGATAGTAATCAAGTTTGTTCGTTCGCTAATAATTTGATATTTCGAAAATAAAATAATTTAAACAAATATTGTATTTTAATAATGAAGGATAAATTGCTTTAATTATTTTATACGGAGAAAAACGGTGTAGTAGAGTAGAACAAAGTTCGATTAAAATGGCTGACTTTCGCGCATGCGCAGTTTTAAACTCCATACACTGTAAAACATTTCCTTGCATATCATAAAACGTAATATACATTACTATTAGAATCTATACATGCACATATTTATTACAAAGTAATGCACAAATAGATAGAATTTAATTCTATTGATCTACATGTACATGATCAATCTTACTGTATTATATTAATGTACTTTTTTAAATGCATTTTTAATTATGCTACTTACCATAAAAAAATCAATATACGTTGTAGAACGATAGAATTTTATATGGTAGAATCAATTTATAAACATGAATATTGTAGAATGTCAGCTTGCAGTTTTATTAAAAAGTGCAACACCAACAATCTTATTTAATATAAAGAAATAAACTTTAAGAACGTCTGCTATATGGAGGTAATTGAGATTGTGTAAGTTGAAGACCAGGGATGTTATTGAATCCAAGCATCTGTAACATTTCCTTGGTTTCTGGATCAACCTCCAGAATGTCATGTTCCAGGGCAGAAACTTCAGGAACATAGTTGTCTCTGCGTTCCCTCTCTTCTTCTTGCAGTTTAATAGAAATACCACGCACCTGACTGTGTCTAAGACGCTTCATCAAGTGTGTAACAAATCTGTATAATGGTAATAAAATAAAGAAATTAGATATTTACCTATGAAGTGTCAAGTTTTGTTCCTATTCTCAGTCAGTAAATATATTTTTACATAAAATATACACATTTCTTCTTAAATACATACCCAGCGATCTTGTTACGCAAAGATTTACTAGGTATAATAGCGATTTCTTCACATATCCTTTTATTTGTATGGAAGTCCATGGTCAATCGAGTGTAGTATTTCTCGATTATGAGCTTGGCGGCCTTTTTGACCGTCTTTGTTCTGACACGACTCTGAAATCATAGTTGCATTTTATTACTTTATGATGTATCTTCTTCAACCTATTTCTAATTTACAGTCCACAAAGAAGAGTACAAAATCTTCGAAAATACTGGAAACATTTGCACATAACCTCAATATTTCAAACTACAAATGGTCAACTATTACAACACGTTTAAGCGATTAATATTTTAACATTTGTATTTAAAATATTTGGTAATATGTTATTCGATGACTCGTTTGTGTATCTAACAATGGATTGCTACGACTTTTTCAGATTTTTATTGCATTTAATCAAAGTATACGCACCATGATGGCTAGAGTTCCGGAAAAGACATACACCAAAATGGACGAGAGATACTACCGCCACGTGAAACTATCAACATCAGTGGTCAAGTAGAGAATTAATACGTCGCACTCGATTTCAGATGCGATGCTACAGACATCTAGAGATCGCATCATATTTACCTTTAGAATTTTAATTTATTTACGGGTGATAAGCACAAAAAATTGAAATATAAAAAATAAAATTTTTCTATTATATTTGAAGTTAAATTTGTAGACAGAAACAGTACGATTAAAGAATAACTTTTCTGTTTAGAAAGTTTTACTAAAAATTTTATTTTTTTAATGTGAAGTTTATTCTACTGAAGCTAATGTAGAAAATCCAATCTAACGTTGGTATGTATACTTAATTATGATTGTAAATTGTTTTCATAGCATAAAAAATTGACTAATTTAACAGGTTTAGACATTTTCCAATTATAAAAATGAAAAATATTTCATTGCTTAAATAAAATCACGTTACGATTATTCGCAGTAGGTGGCAGCAGCAACATCAATACAATTCGCGAATTAGTACAGAACGTCAGTGGCACAAAACATGTCGTACGTCGCGCTGTCGCATCATGGAACAAGCTTAAACCTGCCTCGGTTACACTTCTCACAAGTGACATTTAGTTTCCTCTAAAGTACGAAAACTTTCAATCATCGAGTACCGTTCAGTTCTCACGGAACGTACGTAAAATAGCCCAAAAATCAAAAACGCCAGTTGACAAAGTGCGAGTGGTCTGCTATGTGATAGTGGGGGCGAAGTGTGGTGGCAGCACTGTGCCTTAAAGGGACTAGCGGAAGAACGAGAGAGGGAAAGCAACAGAGATGCAGAATGACAGAGTGAGGGAGATAGAGCGATGAGAGTGAGATCATACCATATTGCCAACGCCGCGGTGCGAGAGAGACCGAAATTTCGTTCAACACCACACGGCAGTCGGTGTTTGTCCGTGGAAGTGAGATAGCTGACTGTTGAAGGAAGAAGGATAGAGGATTGCGAGAAGGAGGGCAGACTCGCGAGGGAGAGGCGACGAGTTTGTTTATCGCCTTGGTGAACGGCGAGAGCAGTCAGTGCGGTGCTACACTTGGCCTGTAGTGGTCGGGACGATCGGTAGCTCGGTTCGAAAGTTCGGCCTCGTTCTTCTGACAATTTACTCCGAATAGTGCGTGGGTGTCGTCGTGTTTTCTTATCGCGCACATGTCAACGTTCGTTTAACTTCTCGTCGAAGACCTCGTGTCGGAAGAACATGCCGCGGACCACTGCCAAAACATAGTCGTTCTGTGTATCTATCGTGTGCTAAAAAGTCGGTGACATTTGTGCTGTACTCTGCGAGATTGCTGGAATTTCACCGTACGACGTGGGAATCTGCAACGTCGCGCGATACTTGAACAGGCAAGCGTAATTTCTTATTCAGTTACGTGGAAAAAAGGAAATCAACCTGTGCACAACTCGATGTCGCGTTATTCGTTCGGTTAACCTCCTGTCACTTTTATATCGGTGTTGTGTCTCTATTATGCCCCCACGTATCTCGTCTGATTGCACCACTCTTTCTCCCGGCTTCTGTTTCTGTCAGCTGACATCGTCGTGTCCTCGTGTGTATACCAACGGACTTTCTCTTCGTGAAACTTCTTCGTGTCGTGATCTTTCTGCACTATCCTACCTATTAAACACGAGCACAACCGGTAAACCATTGTTAACTGTCGATACTCTTTCGCTCTTTCGCGAATTTCTCCCTAACGTGGGGGTCGTTGATCCCGATTCTTTCACTTTCGTCGAAAATACAGGCTGACCGTGATTCGCATACGGAATGGTGCACGCGTTGCAACGTACGGGAAAAAAAGGCTGTGAAAGCAATCAGGACTGGCGTTGGCGTTTCGCAGAGAGCCGCGCGCGTGTATAATTTGGGCCAGGCGAGTGGCGTGTGAAAAATCATCGTGGCGCGTGTATGTGTGCGTGCGTTGTCGCGTTTGTGTACCTTATGCATGAAGTGTCTCCCAAGAAATATATCGCGGTGGCGCGTTCTAATCATGCGGGTTTGAAAAACCTTTTAGCCGCGATTAACGCTCTTTTCTGACCCGAAACTAATTATAGTTTCGCGTTTCGTTTACGGAACACGTACCTCCGTCCTCATTCTTCTAATGATTCGTTTAAATACATTTTTTTTTTTTGCCTTCCCGTTCCTGTAAGCGTGTATAATCTCATCTTCTCGAGAGAGCACACCACACAGGCGACAAAAAATGTCAGATCTTTCCTGATCGAACGGGTTTCAACTACTCGTCAACGGTGTGCACACGTATACAGAGTGTACAGTAACGATCCAGCTGCTTCTATTTTCCCGTTCTCTCCGTTAGTTTTCGAATTGTACTGTGTTTACGGATACGATCTGCTACGACCTTGTGCCCGCTGTGTCAGTATTAACTCCTTAACAGTTGGTGCGTCTGGTGGGATGCGCTCATATGGGCTCACGCTGTTTAGGTTAAGTGAGTGGCTATTATTACATGTAAAGCATATGCTTTAGGTTATCGTTTCTGGGACTTCTTTCAGTGTTTTTTGTTGTCTAATTTGTAACTCACTGTTGTGACTCTTGCGGTGAAGCCAATCGGTTGAAGTATATGTCTGTTTCTATTGGGTACAAGTTTTGCACCCCAAATTTAACTTTTTGCAAATAAAATTCACCTTTTCGTTTAATCACAATTTAAAGGAAATTATTCTTTCCCGTAAATTGTAAGAATTACAGGCAAGTTAAGCGTCGATTGAACTGAGGCCTGTCTAGAGTCTACCCGTTTAATAAAAAATAGAATTGTTCCGATTTTATTTTACTGCACAAGAGATGTATTGCAACACATTTTCAAGTCTATTGGTAATTACCATTATATAAGTATTTCATGTACATCTTCGTATTATATGCAATAAAATTTTGAATTTCTTAACAAGAAATTTACATTTGATTTGTTTTTTATTACAAAAGCTTAAGAAAACAATTTTGTAGGAAAACTTGATTTGCAAAAGGGTGAATAAATTTGCAAAAGGTTCAATTTCATTTGCAAAAGGGTGAATTGCATTTGCAGAAGGGTGAATTTCATTTGCAAAAAGTTGAATTTGGAGTGCAAAACCTGTACAATTTTGTCACTTTAAAGAATACAGTGAAGAATTTAGAGGAAACGAGTTAGGAAACATTTAACACACAATTCTGTATAAAAATTATTACTAATTTCGAACAAAAAATACACAATCTTTTTATCGTATCTCGCCACCTGTTAAGAGGTTAAGGACACTTCATTATCGACCGTGTTATGGGTAATATGGTCACAGTCAGTTGCGTGATTCGCGTGTTATTTAGTGGTTCATGTCTTACTAAGCTGATTCTTGTTAACCTAACATAAATATTGAGGAGGAATTTTTCTTTTTGTGAAACATGATGTATTTATGTCAGAAAATTTCGTAAGGTTAGGTTTGACGAGTTTTCAATAATATTTACGGTGTAATGAGCGTGTGGTCGTTGTTAACGAAGGAAGTGTGTGATTTACGAGTTGTAAAACGGTTCGAGTGTTATTATAGTGGTTCTCGTTTCAGCGGTTTCAACGTTGAAAGTAATAATCTTTTGTAGGGTGCGTGGAAAATTTATGGGCAAAGACTGAAAACAGGTTGGGATAGATGATTTTCGAATGTTGTTTTTCTGTGTAAACAAAACGGTATAATTGACGGGAGTATGCTTCTTGTCTCGTGAGATAAATACACTGCTCGGCAAAAAAAAATTGTAACACCTAGAAATTAGGGTTGCACTAATCTGGAAATTATATATGTTTTTCGAGTTACCCTGAGGCGAAAGTGATATTTTTTAATAAATAAGACCTTCTTTAATCAGTTTTCCCTTTCAAAACTCCAACAATGTATTTAAATTTCAGATTTGTGCGATTTCATTTTTAAGGTGCTGCAATTTTTTTGACGACCAGTGTAGTAATAGTTCTTTGCAAAAATTATTTAGCAGTATTTTTATGTTTGGTTAAATGAAAGAAAAAGTAAGGTGGTAACGTCGTTAAGGTTTCGATACTTCAAATTTCTTAGATATATAAATTTCTGTTATTACAGACATTTTTAAAAATATAGTACCTACTGTAGTATATTTTGAAATATACCTACAGTAGGTATGTGTATTTTTTTCTTCAAATTATTATCTTCATAAGAATAGGATACACGTTTCACTTATTTTTATTAAAATTTACGAAAGGAAATCTCAAAATTAAAGTATAAATATAATTTATCAAGATGTTATTGAGAAAATTGTCAAAATTAATATCGAATAACTTAGCAAAAAATATCTGTTTTCAGCATATTTTTTATTTTGTATAAAGATGAGAGAGACATTCATTACGAAATATCTTAATACTATGCATTTCTAACTGATTATCTTATTTTCGTGATTTTGTATACAAAAGTATGCATGTAATGAAAATACAGATGAGATATTCCAACGAAAAAAAGTATCATGCAAGATATCATTGTGAATCTTCGTCCAGGTCATTCATTTAATCGATCCATTTGATTTTTCCTCCTATGGAACTGAATACATTCGCATACTTTTATTCCAGTAAGCGAGTTTGAACAATAAGCTAAATCGTATTATCTAAACATGAATAGTTCTAGCTTGTCAGAATTACGAAACACACAAAGTACCTACTGTAGGTAACAAAATGTTTAGAATACAATACAATAGAGTATGTGGACATTCATTGTAACGGACTAAATTTCTGACATACAATTCAAGAAGAATCGTTTGAAAAATATTTTAGAATGCAATATAAAATACCTGAACGTTCTTTGTATCAAAGAAAATGTTCAGTATAAAATTCAAAGTATTAGTAAATTAATTCACTTAGAATTACAATAATACTAGTCAGATCAATAAAATTGTGAAACTCATAAAACGAGAAAAATGGTTTGAAAGAATATTAAGAATTTCGAATTTTTCGTTACATGAAAAGAATTTCTAATTTTCAACAAAT